ACACCTTACACTAAAATTAACTCCAGATGGATTAAAGACTTAAACATAAGACCTAACACCATAAAAACCCTAAAAGAAAATCTAGGCAAAACCATTCAGGACATAGGCATAAGCAAGGACTTCATGACCAAAACACCAAAAGCATTGACAACAAAAGCCAAAAAAGAGACTTTTTATTACTATTTATATCTCATAACTTGTTATTAATCTATTCAACTTTTGTATTTCTTTCTTTCTTTCTTTTGATTTTTGAGGCAGAGTCTCATTCTGTCATCCAGGCTGGAGGGTGGTTGGTCTCAGCTCCCTGCAACCTCCACCTCCCAGGTTCAAGTTATTCGTGTGCCTCAGCTTCCCAAGTAGCTGGGATTACAGGTGTGTGCCACCACACCTGGCTAATTTTTGAATTTTTAGTAGAGACGGGATTTTGCCATGATGGCCAGGCTGGTCTCGAACTCCTGGCCTCAAGTGATCTGCCTGCCTTGGCCTCCCAAAGTGCTGGGATTACAGGCATGAGCCATTGCGCCTGGCCCAAGGTTTCTATTTCTTATGTTCGATCTTGTTAAGTTGTATATGTATAGAAATTTATTCATTTCTTCTACATTTTCCAATTTATTGGCATATATATCCTCATAGTCAATTCTAATGATCCTTTGAATTTCCATGGCATCAGTTGTAATGTCTGCTTTTTTTGTCTGTGATTTTAATTATTTCTGTCTTACCTTTTCCTTTTCTTAGTCTGACTAGAGGTTTCTCAATTTTGTTTATCTTTTCTAAAAACCAACTTTTCATTTCATTGATCTTTTTAACTGTTATTTTAGTTTCAATTTCCTTTATTTCTGCTCTCATTTTTATTATTTCTTTCCTTCTACTAGTTATGAATTTGGTTTGATCTTGTTTTTCGAGTTCTTTAAAATGCATCATTATGTTGTTTATTTGAGGTCTTTCTACTTTTTTGATGTAGGCATTTATTGTTACAAATTTTCCTTTACTCCTGCTTTATAGGTTTTGGTATGTTGTATTTCCACTTTCATTTGTTTTAAAAAATTTAAATTTTCTTCCTAATTTCTTCATTGACCCAGTGGTCATTCAGAAGCATGTTATTTAATTTCCATGTATTCATATAGTTTCCAAAGTTCCTCTCGTTATTGATTTTAAGTTTTATCCCATTGAGATCAGTAAAGACACTGGATATGATTTCATTTTGGGGGAATATTTTTAATTGTTTTGTGGCCTAATATGTGATCTGTCATTGAGAATGTTCCATATACTGAGGAGAAAAAAAAAGTGTATTCTGTGGTTGTTGGATGAAATATTTTGTAAATGTCTATTAGGTCCGTTTGGTCTGTAGTGCATATTAAGTGTGATATTTCTTTGTTGATTTTCTATCTAGTAATCTCTCTAGTGCTGGAAGTGGGGTATTGAAATGCCCAATCATTGTAATGGAGTCTATCTCTCATTTTAGCTCTA